TCTGTTTTTCTTTGTTGCAACAATAATTCTACATATTATTTCAGACTATTTAGAGACCAGAAACAATCAGAATAACTCATCAGCCAAAAATATTTAGAGGTCACTTTTAAAGATATCTAAATGCTCAATTAAATTGCTCTGCATTTTGCAACCAGTTCTTTTGAAAAGCAGTTCTGTATTTTGTCACTTATTGAGAACCCATAACAGTGTTCCTGAAAAAGTACATTTTATTACCTTTTCTAATCATTTTCCCCCTCATGGCAATTATATATCATTATCTTAATAAATGGTATGTAGTTATCTTAAAATGAGAGAAATTCCACTTACATTTTAAAATGATTGTTGAATGGTTAAGTTTATTGTTCTTTAGCACATCCTGCTGTGCACTCCAAGACCAAACTGTAAGAGCAACTACCAGTTGAGAAAACTCTGATGGTAATTTTTGTGGTTATTAATTTAGCTTCCCTGGACTGTATGTTTTATATCAATAGCACAAAAAGGAAGCCATATTAATTCCTCTTAGAAAGTGCCCTTGCGTTATAACTTAATTGACTCTCTGGAAATTGTCTTTAGGAAATCTCCCATACTCTTGGGAAAAAGAGGACTGCTTAAAATATTGTGTCATCTAATTATGTTGAAAGGAAATGTTGACTTCCTTGGAGCACCTCACAAGTGGGAGGGAGATAAGTGTGCCATGAAGGGTTTCTCCACCCATGCTTTTGAGTTTGGAACAAAGGCAGAAGGGTAGTCTGGGAATATATGTGTATGAATCAGAAATAATCAGGAGAATATAATCTGTCATTTATCAGTCTGCACAGTAGAATCCTTTCACTGGCATTTTTTTTGCCTCAGTTATCTGTACCAACTGGCTATTTTGATGAGTTGTGTAATCAAACTGACAGGAAAAGACACCTCGTTCTTCATATTCTGACAGATAAATCCAATAATTTGTGTGGCATATCTGCAGATACCAAGCAGTTTTTCTGCTTGGGCGTATGGCATCATATTCCTCCTACCAGGTTGCTTACAAGCTAGAAGGTGTCTCTATAGAAAAACTGGGCTCCTATCTAACTTTTCCAGGGGCACCAACTCCCCCACACCCCACGGAGGTTGCATCGTTTTTTAGTTACATTGAGAGAAATTCACGGAGGGCAGGTGGACAGTGGTTCCTGTATAACACACTGTAGAAATGCTAGGAGTGGCTGATAGCCTTACCTATTCCCCCAGCTTTTAAGAAAGGACTTTGTCATGACCAGGCAGTTCTTAATAGCAACTTTTATCTCATAGCACAGACAATTCAGGTCAAAGAAATATTTCATTAAATATATGTTTAAGATATTTAGCAGACTCTCTTGAATATATTTTGCCCAAAGAGTAGATTTTTTCCAAGAGTAAAATTTCATTCATTAAACAGGATTTACTTACCTTTGTGCCTTATGCGTGGTATTATTGTTATATTTTTGAAGCATGGTGACCATTTCTTATATGACTAATACCCTAATTATTTTTTGGAATTGGTAAGGGAGCTAGATATTTAGATATATACTTTGTGTGAGCCTAAGTATAGTTAGATCTTCCATCCATTTGCCCTGCAATGATAAAAATCAGCTATCACTATAAAAGGGCCCAGGAAACTGGGAGGTAGAAAGAACTCAATGTTGAGCACCCACTGTGTGCCAGTGCGAGTTAAATAATCTAATACATTCCTGGTTGATCGCCTATAATTTACTTAAGAAAATATTACTTTATAAAAAGATCAGCAGAAAAATTTTTGAACACTATTGGAAATGTCTTCATGAACATTCTTGGAGGGTTCCAAATTGTATGTTTCCCCCAGCAGATCATAATATATAATGCTCAGTGAAAATAAGCAGCAACCCACGTTTCGTACACTACGTGATGCCAGTTTTAAAAATATATATACATCCTTGTGACTTATTTATTTCATAACTGGTTGTTTGTACCTCTTAATCCCCTTCTCTTATTTTGCCTATCCTTACCCTGCCCCCCACTCTGGCAACCACTAGTTTTTCTGTATATGCAAGTCTGTTTCTGTTTTGTTATATTTGATCATTTGTTTTGTTTTTTAGCTTCCACATATAAGTGAAAACATACAGTATTTGTCTTTCTCTGACTTCTTTCATTTAGCATAGCACTCTTCAGGTCCATCCATGTTGTCACAAATGGCAAGATTCCATTCTTTTTTATGGTTGAGTAATATTCCACTGGGTATGTGTGTCTATATATATATAGAGAGAGAGAGAGAGAGAGAGAGAGAGACACACACACATATATATGAGATATATATATATATATATATATATCATAAGATGTAATGTACAGCACAGAGAATATAGACAATAAAATTACAATAACTTTGTATGGTACAGAATCTATAAAATGTTTAGTCACTCTGTTGTGTACCTGAAACTCATATGATATTTTTAAGTCAACTGTACTTCAACAAATATATATATACAAATGAAAAAAAAGGCATAGAAGGAAATATAGCTATTTATATATGGTTATTAGCAGTGGGACAGTGGGGTTGTACATGAGTTCTAATTTTTTCTATATAGCTTTCTAGATTTTTTATATCTCATATGCATTTTATAATCAGAGTAAGTTATAAAAAAAAATACACAAAGAAAGTGAACTTTGTGTTCCTGAGTTTGAGAATAACCTCTCTCAACCTGTAAGTTAAACAACCAGAGGCATTTCTATTGGTTGTAGCCAGTTCTTCAGTTTTGACTGCAAGAGAATGCTAATATGCATTTCTTGTATTCAAAAGTCTGTTGAGGGCTTCCCTGGTGGCACAGTGGTTGAGAGTCCGCCTGCTGATGCGGGGGACGTGGGTTCGTGCCCCGGTCCGGGAAGATCCCACATGCCGCGGAGCGGCTGGGCCCGTGAGCCATGGCCGTTGAGCCTGCGCGTCCGGAGCCTGTGTTCCGCAACGGGAGAGGCCACACCAGTGAGAGGCCCTCGTACTGCTTAAAAAAAAAAAAAAAAAGCCTGTTGAAATTTTGTATTGATCTCTCTCAGTACTTTACAGTGATAAATTCTTATACCTAATCTAGGTGGTCAATAAGATTAACTCTGGAAGCTATTTGCCAAATTATCTTGAATTAGAACACCTTGGTATGAATTATGCAGAGAATCAAGATTTTTTTAAAAATTCTAATAAACTAATTAAATACTGAGTTAGAATTACATTTCAGACATTACTAAACAATGAACTCACTACTCTCTTTTTCTGGACTTAAATGAGGATTTATGGGGAAATTAAAAATTTTAAAGGCTACTAAATATTAGAGTAATATGTGACTTTTTTGGATCAAGTATCTAATAGTTACTGTATGTTAATGTATGTTAAGAGAAATATCAAGGTATATTAAAAGGTCTATTTGGGTTATTTTGGAAGTCAAAGGAAGATACATTAAGAAGCAGTTGAAGTAGTTGAGAAAACCATAATTCAAAAAGAGTCATGTACCACAATGTTCATTGCAGCTCTATTTACAACAGCCAGGACATGGAAGCAACCTAAGTGTCCATGGACAGATGAATTGATAATGAAGATGTGGCACATATATACAGTGGAATATTACTCAGCCATAAAAATAAATGAAGTTATTTGTAGTGAGGTGGATGGACCTAGAGTCTGTCATACAGAGTGAAGTAAGTCAGAAAGAGAAAAACAAATACCATATGCTAACACATATATATGGAATATAAAAAAAAATGGTTTTGAAGAACCTAGGGGCAGGACAGGAATAAAGACACAGACGTACAGACGTAGAGAATGGACTTGAGGACATGGGAGTGGGGAAGGGTAAGCTGAGACAAAGTGAGAGAGTGGCATGGAGATATATACACTACCAAATATAAAATAGGTAGCTAGTGGGAAGCAGCCGCGTAGCACAGGGAGATCAGCTCCGTGCTTTGTGACCACCTAGAGGGGTGGGATAGGGTGGGTGAGTGGGAGATGCAAGAGAGAGGGGATATGGGGATATATGTATATGTATAGCTGATTCACTTTGTTATAAAGCAGAAACTAACACACCATTGTAAAGCAATTATACTCCAATAAAGATGTTAAAAAAAAAAAAGAAGCAGTTGATGGATGGAAAAGCATAACATCATGGAGAATTCTGGATTTTGATAACGCCATGTAGTGGTGGTAGATAAATTCCAGGTGGTAGACAAATTTCTTTGGATAAAATAGGCACCGGAGCGCCAGTAAAATAAATTGTGAAGCAGTGAAGTTTCAATTGAACAGGTCAATTTTCAGTTGTTTTTATGGGACTTAGGAAGATTGGTAAATTCTGTGAATGTTTGAGAACCAATAAATCCCTACTTAGAAAAAACTTTACAAAGGAAATATCATATAGTATCTATTCAAATATTTTCTCCATAGTTCTGGGAGAGTACTCAAATACATCTATTCAGTTTTGCTTTGGGGGAAAAGACTACATTTTAACCTCTGACCAGTATACTTACTCATTTCTGCTAATGACAAATTAATTCATGAAAACATACCATGTTTTATTGTGTGGCAACCCTTTTGTATGTTTCTAAATTAGTTTTTTTCTCTTCTCTAAATACTAATAATGCATGTTATTTTTTATGCCTTTTTTCCCCTTAATTAATGTCGTCCTTGAGTGTCTCAATCTGTGCTGTCCAATATGGTAGCCCCTAGCTACATGTAACTATTGAAGTTTAAATTAATTAAAATGAAATAAAATCCAGAGTTCAGCTCCTCATTTGCACTAGCCACATTTCAATTGCTTAATAGCCACATATGGCTAGTGGCTCCTGTAATGGATAGCGGAGATTATAGAATTTTTTCATCATTGTAGGAAGTTCTATTGGATGGCACTGATCTAAAGAGTCAGGACAGGTTAAAAATTCTTTGGCATATTTTCTGTATCTTAACATATGCTTATGTTATTTCACTTCAACTTTCCTCTTCTGTTATTTCATTTTATCTTTCTGTTTTTCAGTTTAAAAGGATGCTTAATCGGGAGCTCACCCATCTCTCTGAAATGAGTCGGTCTGGAAATCAAGTGTCAGAGTATATATCAAACACATTCTTAGGTGAGAATAACAATTTAAATGCAATTTTTTTAAAGTTTTTTGCATTGTTTGTTTTTGGAAGCAGACTGGGGTGCAAACTTATTTTGGAAATAAGAGTTAGGAATTCCATTTGTTTTCATTCATCATATTAATAATTTGAGCCTCTAAGCTTTAGAACCTAAGGTGACAAAGGATGTGTTTTATCTTTTTGTTTTATTCAGGACTTCAGGGATTCTCAGAATTAAAGTTGTATATTGTCCGTTTTTCCAAAGTACTCAACTGTAAAATGTATCTTATAGAGAGACCTATTCATGCATTCAACAAATTCTTGTTAAATGCCAGTCATTGCTGGGCACTAGGTATTTAATGATCAATTAGAAATGGTCCCTAAACTCAATGAGTTGATAGTCTAATGGGCACCATGCCTGGTAGACTGGAGAGACAGATAAATATAACACAAGAGCTAAAAAAAAGCTTGCTGATAATAGCTGACAGTACGGTGTACTGGGACACCCCTACCCCACCCTCCATCCACAGAAAGAAAATGCAGTAAAGGAAAACCAATAACTTGAACACATCCTTGATCTGAATTTACTTTCAAAACAAAACTGTCGTAATAGCTAATTAGCACATTCACTAAACAGGCATTTATTGAACACACACTCTGTGCAAGGACAAGTTAAAGGAGCTCACTGTCTTGAAATAGTGAATGAGTGTACTGAGACATCTGATGTCTTATTTGAAAACAACAATTAGCTTTTGTGAATCTGATATTTAGTTATCAGATAATATTGGAGTTACTCTGCGCTCCCCATAAAACCTTATTGCATTATTCCCCCATCTCACTATCGTATAGAAAATGTAAACTAGCAGTAGCGATCTAAGTCCTTCACATACGCTGTGTTTGCTCCCACAGAATGACCCATTTCAGTAAGCTGTTAGGTTCACACAGTGCTGTTTTTATATTTGTGCGCGAAGTTTCTTCCATTTCAAAGTAGGTATTGAAACTGGAGTTCTTAATTGGCAAGAGCAATGTTCTCACCACTAAGTGAATTTTAAATAGGAATGAAATCGATGAGCAGTGAAAATAACCAGTGTCTTTTGCCTTCTCCAAGTCTGCTGTCGTAAGTTTTTCAAAAGACGTAATCACTGAATACATTTGATGTTAATTATTTTGCAGTGGAATTTATTTGCTTAATTTTGTGTTTGAGAGTATCAAATTAAGTCCACATCGAATTATAAATACTCAACTTCTTTAAAAGGAGTTTTACTTGGAAACATTTCCTAGAATATATACTGATCAATTAAAATCCGCCATTATGCATGTTATAATAAAAAAAAACCCAGGTAGAATTAATAGTAAATGAAGAATTTTTTTTAAAATTTTTAAGATAAGCAACATGAAGTGGAAATTCCTTCTCCAACTCAGAAGGAAAAGGAGAAAAAGAAAAGGCCAATGTCTCAGATCAGTGGGGTCAAGAAATTGATGCACAGCTCCAGCTTGACTAATTCAAGCATCCCAAGGTTTGGGGTCAAAACTGAACAAGAAGACATCCTTGCCAAGGTAAGACGATTTCAAGTATCCTGATCAGAAATATGCAGTGAACTTTGATACCTTCTCTTTTATATAAATGGAAAAGTTTATTAATTTGTGGGAGGTTTTTTTTGGAAGATGGGAAAGCCCTTTATAAAGCTCTTTCTAAATCACTTGGGTTTTATTAATATGTGGGTTTAGACAGGCAGTTTGGTGTTCTTTATTTTTGCACCTATATTTGATTCTTTGACCTTAAACAATTAAAAAGTCTTTTAGGAGAATAATTAAAGTTTTTGAGAGTAGGTTTTAACTATTGGAGAAATACTTTGAGATCAATATTTCAAGTATGTAAATATGTTTTATTGTCAGAGACATAAGGTTAAGCAACACCATTCAGTTTCTAGTATGCTTAAGCGGATTTGCCTAAAGTTTGCCTGTACTTACATGGTGCATCATTACATTTAAAATGAATTTTTTTTTAATTTAATGATCTTTTCATTGAAGTCAGTAATTTTTAAATGATTGTGTTCATTGTTTCCTGTTCTACTTCTGCAATCAGATTTGTTCTATCTTTCGTTAACCCCAGGAACTAGAAGATGTGAACAAATGGGGTCTTCACGTTTTCAGAATAGCAGAGTTGTCTGGGAACCGGCCTTTGACTGTTATCATGCACACCATTTTTCAGGTAATGCAGTTAAGTTCTATCACCTCTCTTTTATTTGGTGTCATAACGTCCAGTCTGTGAATTGTGCCTGCATTTTATCTTCTTCACTACTTACCCTCTTTGACTTATTTTGATAACTTTTTTCAAAATAAGAATACAGAAAGGTTAGCTTGTGGGTAAAACACAAATCCATTGTGTTATTTTTTCCATTGAAGAAAAAGATGTGATGTGGGCAAATTAAAGCACTTCATTAAAATAAGACTTTAAAAATCATCCACGTGATCCTGACTTGCATAGAGAATGGAGTGCTAACTTTACAAATTGAATAAGCCCTTTGCTGACTAATCTTAGTATGTAATTTCTTCAGTCACTGTCTTGTGGACTGCTCTCTCCTTCACATCGGTTTCTCATTCTTGTCAAGTTTTTGCCCCAGTTCAGTGTTAGGATTTATATGAGAAGTTGCAGCTATAGACACCCTGGTACATGGAAGGGCAGCTCCAACCCTCGAGAGGATATTGTGTCTCACTTGTTTTGATCCAGTATCCTTGTCATTGGTGTTGTACTGAAGCTGCCTTCAGGATCCCGGGACACAGATACTTTGATAGTTGGCAGCTCATTCCTGACACCATATAACTTGAGAAAAGCATTGCTGGGCTCCAGAAGGACAAGTCGACTCTGGTTTTGTCCCTGAAGTCGCTGGATCATTCCCAAGGGTTTTCATTGTCTTCACTAGACATTGAGAGAGTGCTACTCCCATTTCTGGGTTATCCATAGGCGACACTGGGGGTGATATTTTGTTGTTGTTGTTGTTAACATACTGTATGGAAAATCTTTTCTATAAGGACAAAATGTTAAGAGAATTTCTTCTCCCGCAGGAACGGGATTTATTAAAAACATTTAAAATTCCAGTGGACACTTTAATTACATACCTAATGACCCTGGAAGATCATTACCACGCTGATGTGGCCTACCACAATAATATTCACGCTGCAGACGTCGTCCAGTCAACACACGTGCTGTTATCTACACCTGCTTTGGAGGTAAACCTGCTTTCTAAACCTTTGAAAACACTAACTTGCCACTCATAATGGTTTCTTCAACTTTTATACTGAAGGGTGCACAGGCAAACAATAATCGACTTCACTAGAAATATTATTGAGTTATGGGAGCGAAATGTCATTGTGGTAAATAAACAGTTGAGTCTTTGATGAATTTTGTCTGTGATAATTAATCAAAGATTTAGGGGGCTTCCCTGGTGGCACAGTGGTTGAGAGTCCGCCTGCCGACGTAGGGGACACGGGTTCGTGCCCCCGTCCAGGAAGATCGCACATGCCGCGGAGCGGCTGGGCCCGTGAGCCATGGCCACTGAGCCTGCGCGTCCGGAGCGTGTGCTCCGCAACGGGAGAGGCCACAGCAGTAAGAGGCCCACATACCGCAAAAAAAAAAAAAAAAAAAGATTCAGGGATTCCTGTGTTTTATGATACTGCTTCTTTGAAATGATCTAGTGGACATTCCACAAAGCAAATCTGGCTTCCTCAGTTTTCAGTTAGTGTGGGGTTTTTTGGGAATTTAGCCTGAGGATTTTTTCAGTTATAGTTCAAAGATGATTATTTTATAAAATATCAATACTAGCAGTGCATTGGTATTTTTCATAGAACTTATTAGAAGGAAACACATCTTTAATGTTACCAGATCCTATGAAGTTGTTCCATTAAATGTTTAGTAAAGCAATTTGAGTTCCTTCATTGTTTGGGAGAGTGATTCTCTTTGCTAATATATTTTATAGTTCGGATTGTTTCATTATAAAACTGTTAATACGTCATCGTTTGAGTGAAGAGTTCTCAGCTGGGGGTGATTTTCCCTTTTACTCGTACTCCTCCCTTCCCCCAGGGACATTTGGCAATATGTGGAGACATTTTTAGCTGTCACAACTCGGGGGTACATGCTACTGGTATCTCATGGGTAGAGGCCAGGGATCCTACTAAAAATCCTGTAATTCACAGGATGGCCTCCCATAACGAACAATTATCCGGCCCCGAATGTCAGTTTTGCTGAGATTGAGAGTCCCTGTTTAGAACGGAAGAAAGGAAAATAATTGCTCATGTCATTAATTTTATGCACATTTTCAGAATATCCTTAAACATCATCTTAAATACTTTTAAAATAAGCTATTATTTTCTATAAAAAATTTGTAGATGCTCATTTTTTAATATTTAAAAAAAAATAACCATTGGAAAAGGTTTGATCATGAGTTATAATAAAATCAGACATTGTCTGGATTTTTTCAGGCTGTGTTTACAGATTTAGAGATTCTTGCAGCAATTTTTGCCAGTGCAATACATGATGTAGATCATCCTGGTGTGTCCAATCAGTTTCTGATCAATACAAGTAAGTAAAGCATGCTTATTTTTGCAGAAAAAATGTTCCTTTGTACATTTTAGAATGACTGAGAGTCTTTATAGAATGACTGAGAGTCTTTATGTCTCCAGAGCCATAATGTTCTCTTGAGATGTGCGGATAGGCGTTTCAGTGATAGCATATGTTAGTGTAGCCTAGCTCTAAAAATTATATTCATATCCCATGAGGCATATGATGTTTGAAAAACATGCATTCCAGTACTTCTCTAGAAATAATATATTACCATATTAGTAGACAAGGGCAATCAAAAGTGAAAGTTTGCTGAAAGATGTCGAGAGTTAGATTGCCCCTAAAGTTTCAAATAAAAGAAGTTATCAGAATAAATGTTAAATTCGTCATTTTCTGTAGGTTGTCATTTAATCCTCTCCAGAGGCTGTAACTCCTCTTTCCCTCTCCACCACCATGCCCTGCCCTGTTCTTTCCTTTTTATTTTATTTTTTTATTAGAAATATCTCCTTTATTTTATTTTTTTAAAATTTATTATTATTTTTTTAAATTTCTCACCGCAGCATGCAGGATCTTAGTTCCCTGACCAGGGATTGAACCCCTGCCCCCTACCAGTGGAAGCATGGCGTCTTAACCACTGGACCGCCAGGGAAGTCCTTGTTCTTTCCTTTTTAAATCTCCTGCTGAGGGCAGTAGGAACTTCTCTTTTGACTAACTATCTCTTTTTATTTAATATTTTTTTAACCATTAATTTTTTCTCACTGGTGACATTTCATAAAATAAGTCATCACTGAATTTGGAAATATAAAGAATAGTAGACTCTTCAGTGTGCGACACCTCTGACACAGCTGCATAGAAAACCTCTGTAGGGAATGTTAGTGGTGCTTGAGCTAGGCTTTTGCAAAGAGGTTAAACTTTACAGAAATTCTGTTCTTTCTGTACTTGAAGTTAACTGGTAAATAATTTACGTGTACCATTCATTATTAAGTTCCCTCACACCATGGTAGATTAACATTATAAAGTCAGTTTTATATGTGAAAAAATAAAGTTCAAAGTTGTTAGTGTTTTTCATATCTGTTAAGGGTTTGCCTTTCCTCTTTGCCGCGAGTTGTGGATAATAGTCTCCTCGTGCCCTGTAGCAATCTAGCTCCAGTAGCATCTGTGCCTTCACCATTCGTTCACAACACAGCCAGATTTAAAGAGAGAATTTAAGTATAGCCTTGTTTTGAGAGATTTAACTCAGATCTTTTGGATTATTTACCTATTTGTATATTTTTAATAGCCTCTGGACTGCCCTGTAACAAAATGCACTTTAGTAACTCACTCATGTATAGGAGGATTGAAAGTCATGGATTTCCAAAAATGTGTGGATAGTCAGTACATTTTAGAAGTCTGGTTTATGAACTTATTTATCTAGGATTAGACAGGATAACATTTCATGTTTCAGCCACCTTATGAGAACCTATAATGGGGTGCTTTCAGGAGTCACCAAAACATTACTATATATTGACACATAAATATTTATATACATTAGAGGCAGCTACATGAGTTTACATTGTATCATTGGTTAGGGTCGACTGTGTCCTTTCTGTAAAGAACAGGAAGTTCATACAGTAAAAGGTACACTGCCAATTTTTTATTATCCTGGCTTGATTCATTTTTTTGATTCTTATGTATGTCTTGATATGTTCTTAATTTTATAGATTTTTAACAAATACATATAAATTTTGTTTTAATTTTTGCCATTAAGAAAGGTGTGCATTTTTTCTTTAAATTAATAATACCAAAATCAGACCTATGTGTTTTCTTTGCATCCTATTATATATAATATTGTATGTTCCCATATTATAACATTAGAATTAAGAATAGAGAACAGAGTAAAACAACTGATAATAAAGTCACTGTCTTCCAAGTACTCCGATAAATTTTTCAAGAAAAATGAGGACCAACTCTATTATTCTTTCTTGTGGACCCTCTAAGGGCAAATGGGCTTAGGCTGGCATCAGAGTACCCGTGGAGTCTGCAGCTTAAACTAGCAAGGCCTCAGTCCACAGATGAATCTGATGCCCTTTAAAGTTTGAGAGCCACTGAGAATAGATACTGGAGACACGTATGGGGTAATTATGCATACAGGACAGTGGCCAAGGGTGTCTGTTTATTAAGGTCATTTTGCTGATGATCTGCCTGAGGTGGAAGGGTAACTGACCATGTTTCTGGAAGCATTTTGTTATTCAGTGATGTTGCGCAGATCTCCTTTCCGTGGGGCCTCAGCAGCCCAGGGTAGTCAACAGCTTTGGATTGCTGATGTTTTCTTGACGGTGGGGTGTGATGAGGCTGTGTTATACCTGAAAGAGTGAATGAGCATCATCACCTGGTAGATGAAAGTTATCCCAGGGTTGATCAGAACCGCAGGGCATTATGAGAATTACTGCCTTAGTTAGCTGTTAACTAGGGATCAAGCCAGCAATCATTTTATTTCAGGACTCAGAAGAGGCTTAGTAGCCAGTAACACAAGTAAGTTTTAGCTTCACAGCATACTCTAAGGGAGTCCCTCTAATAACTTGCAAACTTGTAATAAATAGCCTTATGAAATACCCTATCAGAATTATGTGATTATTTTTAGCTTACAGTAAACCCTTTTTTATAGACGTTAAATTTGTGCTTTCTCTTTCTTTTGGGGATTGTTTGAGCATCAGTGGCTCAGGCTAGCACACTCTCGGCTCTTAGCCTGGAGCTGGCGCTGCCAACCTGTTCAAGCCAAAGGCTGAATCTGTGTTTCTTGTAATAAAGACTTGGAATCATCAGATCAGACTTCCTGTAGATGGGAGGTCACCTGTCCTATTTTAAGGGAGGCTGCATGGCTCGCCGTGGTGGAGGGGCACTGGGGCTCACCTGGCCGATTCCTAGGCCAGAGACACCTCTGCTTCTTAGTTGTGGTGACAGTTTTCATTAATCATTCTGCTTGTATTAGTTTTAGGCACCAGATGATTTGCTGTTAATGACACGTACACTCCTTGTAAACATGCTGCAGGTTTTGAGTCAGTTAAGCTTTTATATATGATGTAGGGGAATGGGGGACTCTGAATAGGATGTAAAGAAGTGGAAATTCCAGGTGAGAAGCTGCATAAGTCTTTTTCAAGGACAATACTATGTAAATAAATCCATAAAATGTAAATAGCATCATGAAATATTGAATAGAACACGTTAGGGGAGATTTATCTTAAAAAAAGCATTTCACATAACAGCATTATTTTCTGAAACAGTGAAGCAGCGTCAGAACATATATAGCAGTAAATTTTACTTGGAAAACGAATACTTTCTGTTTATAGCAAAGATGCCTGGGTTTGGGGGGAAAAGATCTCCTCACACATTTGAACACAGTAGTCGTTGTTCAAAGCATATGACTTTTGAGATTCAAGAGCAGAGGCATTTCACTGTATGAAGGTGGAGCTGGACCTAGCGACAGTACACACACTTTATTTCACTGATCTCATTTTAAAATAAGCTTTCCACAGCTATATTTGTAGCTTATAAATAGAATGTTATTTTTCTGTATAAACCTAAAATCATAGGATTTCAGTCAAAATATTCTTGAACCCCTCTCGTCCTCCCTAGCTTCTTTAAAATAGTCCTTGAATAGTATTGGATATTTCTTTATTAGAAAAGAATATATATTTTCCACACATGAGTCAGAAGAAAGATCAAATACATATGCTTTTAGTCTTTACAGTGACTTAAGTGGCAACAGAATGAAGCACCCGTCAGTTTTTTTTAATGACTACCTTATAGGTCTGAGCCTGCTATTTATAGGAACTAGGAAAGAGGCAGGATTTGTCACTACCTAAAATAGGTCCAGGACAATTGTGGGGGAATGGCAGAATCTTCACTCTGGAGAAATGTAGGCAGCTAAACACCCGTCTCTGTGTGAAGCCCTGAACATGCAGCTGGGACGGGCAATATACATGTGTATAGTGACTGCCAAGATACTTGGAAAAGGAAATGGAAAAATGAATAAAGCTTTGCCTTTCAAAGCTATACTATGAACCAAATAAGCACAAACATGAACAAATCTGATATTGTTCATGTGTTCCAAGCTGTTCTTGTTCCTTCTCAGAGTACGAATAATCCTAAATCACATGATCTTTACATTGTATACAGTGTTGGGTAGGTGGTCCACAGTTGTCAGGATACAACATTCTATGCTCTGGACATGTTGTAAATGTTAGGGATAATGTCTTCTTCTGCTGAGCTTACGGAGCTGCCTCTGGCAGATCCGGAGAGGAGGTTCAAGGTAATCTGGCCTAACTCTTCTTTCCCTTTATAGCGGAGGAAGCTGAAGCCACAGGGTGAACTGACTTGCCGTGTGCCAAGAGCATTAGAATACACTCCCAAGATTCCAGGGATCTTTCTGTGGTTACATTAACTAGCAGACTTTCTCCTGGGTGTTGTCATGTAATGGGAATGCGAGCAGAGACGTTTAGGGGAAATTGCTTCCTAAACCCAAAATATCTCAGAATATGAAGAATAAGATAAACTTAGCATAAATGGCTTTGCTAACCTTCTGTCTCTTTCTTTCAAGACTCTGAACTTGCCTTGATGTACAATGATTCTTCTGTCCTGGAGAACCATCATTTGGCCGTGGGCTTTAAGTTGCTTCAGGAAGAAAACTGCGACATTTTCCAGAATTTGACCAAAAAGCAAAGACAGTCATTAAGGAAGATGGTCATTGATATTGTAAGTAACTGATAAAAGCAAAAAGAGAACTGTGATGCATGGTGTTTTTAAAAAGAAAAAAGAATGAGATGACTATCAGGGAAAGTATCATGTATATTTCAAGATAATGCTGCCTTGTTTGTCCCAGAGGCTGGCCCTGCTGCTGGCAATGATGCTCTACTGCTAACAGTCTGGGGCTAAGAATAATGACAGCTTACCCTCATTCTAGGTTTATTTTCTGAACTCCTGCTGTCTGGTGGCAGACAGAGATGGCTAACAAAAGCACAGGGAGCTGGCTAAAAAAATGGACTTTTTCCATTCAAAAACTGGAAAAAAAATCTCTGTCAGCGCAAGTGCCATGTAGAAACATGCATGACATTAGTCTTTTCTCTATGCAGGTTTTTCACAGTGATTATGAGACACACGAATATCTCTGGTTGTCAAAAACTTACTCTGTTAAGCTTTGTACATACAAAGAAAGGCAGGTATTATCTGGTTTGGATAAGCAGAAAATTGACCAGAATATTGTTTCTGAAGCACTCTGTAAGCAACCTTGACTCACTCCATCGTAGATCAGTAACCACTTTCTAGCACAAGGGATAGAAAAACTTCAAAACGTGCAGTGGGGCTTCCCTGGTGGCGCAGTGGTTGAGAGTCCGCCTGCCGATGCAGGGGACATGGGTTCGTGCCCCGGTCCAGGGAAGATCCCACATGCCGCGGAGTGGCTGGGCCTGTGAGCCATGGCCACTGAGCCTGCGCGTCCCGAGCCTGTGCTCCGCAACGGGAGAGGCCACAACAGTGAGAGGCCCGCGCGTACCGCAAAAGCAAACAAACAGACAAACAAAACGTACGATGATGTCTTATCTATGGAAATATCCCTTTCTATCACTATGAAAGTGGCTGCCAGTGCCTACTGTTTCTGTATATTGCACACATGTATCTGGGCTTCCAGGGAAATTGATAGCAAAGGGGAGAAGACTCTGCCCCAAGAAGCAGTAAAGGATTCCCACACATAGCTATTAGACAACAGAGTGGTTCTCCATTTCTTCTCACGTTCTCCATGATATTTTTATGTGCAAATTCTGACTTTTTTCCCCTGGACGTTTTTTACTTATTAAAATACTCTTTGTTGGGACTTCCCTGGCGGTCCAGTGGTTAAGACTTCATGCTTCCACTACAGGACACACGGGTTCGATCCCTGGTCAGGGAACTAAGATCCCACATGCCAAGAGGTGTGGCTAAAAAAAAAGAAAAGAAAAGAAATATCTCTACTGTATAGCATGGAGATCTCTACTCTCAATGCTCCATAATGACCTGTATGGGAAAAGAATCTAAAAAATAAAGAGTGGATATATGTATTGTATAACTGATTTACTTTGCTGTACGTGTGAAACTAACACAACATTGTAAATCAACTATACTGCAATAAAAATTTTTTTAAAATACTCTGTCTTTTAAGGTACTTGCAACAGACATGTCAAAGCACATGAATCTGCTGGCTGATTTGAAAACTATGGTTGAAACTAAGAAAGTGACAAGTTCTGGAGTTCTTCTTCTTGATAATTATTCTGATAGGATTCAGGTAAAGCATTCGAATGTGCTGTGCCTGAGTGTGTGTGTGTGTACACGTGTCTGTGTGTCTAGCTTAGATAAGATTTATGTCTCCTTTTCTCCAACTTATAATTTTAGTAGCTATAAGCAGGATTTTTATCCAAATTCTTAATCTTGAGAATTAACCAGATAAAATCCTGTTCGCCTTTTCAAGTGGAAATGCGTTAAAAAAAAAAAAAAGTAACATCCTACAAAACCAACCACTTAAGCAGCTCTGAATTTAATCAACCATGCACATGAACAGTTTCTCTTATGATACTTAGATGCAGTAGAAGTGGCATAATTTGGGACTATTAATACAGGTGTGAACTTCACACAGACACACCATGGTCGAGCTGTCTGGCACGACTCTTACACTACATGTATTTTTAAGTGTCACAGTCATCTGATGTGAATTTCTAGTAAAAATGGAGCAGGTGCTAAATAGAGAAGGCATTGATCTGTTTTAGGTCCTTCAGAACATGGTGCATTGTGCCGACCTGAGCAACCCAACCAAGCCCCTCCAGCTATACCGCCAGTGGACGGACCGCATCATGGAGGAGTTCTTCCGCCAAGGGGACCGAGAGAGGGAGCGGGGCATGGAGATAAGCCCCATGTGTGACAAGCACAATGCCTCTGTGGAAAAATCACAGGTGATGCCTTAAGCATAAAGCTTTCAGAGAGAACACAACTACACGGAACATTTGGTTACGCCGTATGCATGTCACACAGTATTTTATTGGGTTTTCTTAATTACTTTCTTTTGTCAAGCTCAATGTCCACCTTAGTGTTTGCAAGCCAAAACATTCTTTGATTCTTAGAATTTATATTCATATAGTCATATATACGTTCATAGGACAGTATATTCATTCATCATGACTATATGTATATAGTATATTCATATGTGTAGAATTATTTCAGCTATCTCAATTCATAAGTGAATAAAGTTATATGAATCCATATAGAGTACATGGCATTATTTCAGCTCTGTGGATTTACCTACGAATGGGCTATTCTAAAATAAAGTCCCAGCCTCAAGCCAAGTCCTGCCATGTAAACAACTGGAGGTTTTTTTTAACATCACAGACTCTTGGACTCAGAGTTCGAGAAGCTAGTTTTTACCAGCTAGTAACGACATTTTTTTATTGGTCTGCTACCTAAAACAATGACTGTTTTACCAAACTAAGGTTAGTAGTCTTCAGCTCAGTGTTATACTTGCAGAGCATATTATATTTTATGTATTTTTCTGTAAATTCTATATATCATATATAAAAATTTAATTCAACATATCAATTAGTTACATTTGAGGGGGCTCGTTAACCTCTTCCATTGTTTCTTAGTCCCAATCGGCTTTGTTTTTTTTTAATCAGGTGGGCTTCATAGACTACATTGTTCATCCTCTCTGGGAGACGTGGGCAGACCTGGTCCATCCTGACGCCCAGGACATTTTGGACACTTTGGAGGACAATCGTGAGTGGTACCAGAGCACGATTCCTCAGAGCCCCTCCCCGGCACCGGATGACCAGGAGGAGGGCCGGCAGGGTCAAACCGAGAAGTTCCAGTTTGAACTGACTTTAGAGGAGGACGGCGAGTCAGACACCGAAAAGGACAGTGGGAGTCAAGTGGAAGAAGACACTAGCTGCAGTGACTCCAAGACGCTCTGCACTCAAGACTCGGAGTCCACCGAAATCCCCCTGGACGAGCAGGCGGAAGAGGAAGCCGTGGGAGAGGAGGAGAGCCAGCCCGAGGCCTGTGCCATCGGAGATCACTCGCCCGACACATAACAGGGCAGAGACTTCCATGCCTTCTGTTTGTGTTTTTTGTTTTTTTAAGTAGAAACATTGTTTCCAAAGTGCATGTCACATGCCACAACTACGGTCACACCTCACTGTCATCTGCCAGGACGTTTGCGGAACAAAACTGACCTTGACGACTCAGTCTAGCGCTCAGGAATATCGTCACCAGTTTTTTCACCTCCATGTCATCAGAACGAGGGGGACATCTCCACGAACGGCAGTGTCCGAAGACTGCAGCTCGGTCGAGCTGAAGAAGCAGAGAAAATCAACTCCAAAGTGTTTTCTAGGGAGTGTGGCTCATCAGGCAGCCCAAAAGTTGAGATGATTTGGGGGTTCTTTTCCTTTTTATTTGTTTGCAATATTTTCAGCAGAAAGAAGGCATTACATGGACGGAGTGAAGCAACACATGGGTCAGGAACAGGACACATTGTGAAGCTGTTACCAGGAAGAAGATGAGCCACAGAAATTGCATAATTTTCTAATTTCAAGTCTTCCTGATACCTGACTGAACAGTGTGGTTCAGTGAGCTGCACTGACCTCTACATTTTGTATGATATGTAAAACAGATTTTTTGTAGAGCTTACTTTTATTATTAAATGTATTGAGGTATTATATTTAAAAAACTATGTTCAGAACTTCATCTGCCACTGGTTATTTTTTTTCTAAGGAGTAACTTGCAAGTTTTCAGTACAAATCTGTGCTACACTGGATAAACCTAATTTACAAATTTTACTTGCACCTTAGACTTCATAGCAATTAACTGATTTGTAGTGACCCGTTGTTTTATATACCAATGACTTCCATATTTTAAAAACAAAAGTTGACTTTATGTTGCAGGAAACCCTTTTTGTAGGTCTTCATTTACTGGCTTTTCGTTTCACTCCTTTCAGACACGCAGAGTTGCTCCCCACTTACATTTCTCTTCACCGTGTGCAAAGCGAATACTCGTTCCATAATACTTTGATGTGCATTCTGTCTAATGTGTCTCAAGCCTCATGGACACTCAGTTATCAGTTGGTGTTTTCTGAAGCAAGTGAGAGATATATAAATACCCAGTAGCTAAAATGGTCAGTCTTTTTTAGATATTTTCCTACTTAGCGTCTTCTGAGAACATTTTGCTGTGGCGATAGACCCTCATTTCACAAGTGCATGTCTTTGTAATAACCCACACATTTCATGCTCGTTTTTGTTTTCACAGTCATAGTAAGAACTTTTCCCCCTTGTGCTGCTTCATTATCAGTGTGTGTTTGAACCTCTGTCCACATTCACTGCGTGGGGTCTTATCAAATATATCACCACCATATGCTGACTGATGCAAAGAACAGGTAGTCAAGTTAGAGTTAGCATTCTTTTCTGCCATGAGGTCATATATAATGACTAGCTTCTACTTTTGATTTACAAAGAAACGTTAACAGCTAGCTAGGTAATTTTTTAACAATATTAGCAGAATATATTAATGAAGACCAGTACAATGAATGCTCTTTTGTTTCTCTGATTTCACCATGGGATTAAGAACTGTATGAGGAATATTCCTGAGAAGTGATTTTAAGTGTAGCAATGACTCTTCCTTAAAGGACAGCCATGTAACATGTAGCACTTGATTTATCAGTTATCATGGATCCATAAGTATGTCTTGTGGAGAAGAGCTTCTTTAAATACACTGACAGAAAGAAGTTGATGATGCCCCTGGCACCAGAGATTTGGCAATATAATGCCGTTTTAAAATACTGGGCTGGGTAAGAAGATTCTGCATAAGTCAAATATTAGAGATCGCTGTTGGCTAAATTTAGCATCAAGAAATGTATTACAATTTTAGAGATTGATTCCCAGTATTTATGTTCAGTTGGCATCTTGGGGCATTTATTTAGTTTGGACTTCCTTCCCACTTCAGCTCTTAATAAAGTGTTTACCGTCTCTGTGAAGAGTTTGGAGCCCGAATAATCATTTTTTAGAGCGACATCCAAGAACCCAAGTAGAGGCTAAAGGAGTATCAGACCAAATGGAAAATAAATAAAACACTAAATAAAATTGTAACCCTGAAAAACATTTATATTGGGGATGTCAAAAGAAGCCATCTGGGGACTAATCACTAAGTTAGCAGCCAGGGAAATGACCCAAGCTGAAGATAGCTAGTTTAATCCCCTGAGATCCACTGATGCTTAGAAATTTGGATAGAAAAATTATGTAGCTCCGATCTTTCACACAGAGCACAGGATAGGAATTGACCAATTAATTATCAGATTTCCACCCTCCTTCCCCTGTAAGAACCAGACTTTCAAAGAAAGTCTTATGTTTGGCAAGTGGTTTCACAAGAATATTTGGAAACTTGTTTCCATTTTAATTTTATTTGTCCCTGATGGAGGTTTAGAGGAAAAAGCAAAGAATCTAGTGTTTATTCCTTTCTCCAAAATATTCTCATTCCATCCCCTCCCTAATGCTTGGTATTTCCCCCACAGAGTGCCTAGAATCTTAATAATGAAAAAAAATTAAAACAGCAATATGTCACAAACAAATCCAGACCTGAAAAGATTTATAACTGCACTAAAAAAGAGAGGCTTTTTTTTTTTTCAATTTGTTGGGTTTTAATGGTCACGTTGTAAAGATATCCACTGATGGACAATCAAATTGTAGAAGAGACATAATATCCAAAAGATAGGGACTAGTGCACTATACAATATACGTCTCCTCTCCCTTCCCTTTTGCCAAAGTGTGCTTCAGAATTATACACCGCTTTAAAAAGAATGTCCTTTTACAAGTGACTTTACATTTCCTAAAATGCCATAAGAAAATGCAATATCTGGGTACTGTACGGGGGAGAAAATGTCCAAGTTTGTATAAAACCAGTACATTTCAGCTTGCAAGTTACTGAACACAATAATGCTGTTTCAATTTTCTTTTACGTCACTTAAAATTCACAAGAAAATAATGTAGATAGAACAAATTGCAGACAAGGAAAAAAAAACTTGAATGAAGTGGATTTTACAGAAAGCTTTATGATACTCTTTGAATGCATTATTTATTTTTTGTGCCATGCATTTTTTTCTCACCAAATGACCTTACCGGTAATACAGTCTTGTTTGTCTGTTTACAACCATGTATTTATTGTAATGTACATACTGTAATGTTAATTGTAAATTATCAGTTCTTATTAAAACATCATCCCGCAATGGGATGGTGTTGATATATTTGGAAACTCTTGGTGAGAGAATGGTGTGTATACATACTCCTTGTACATTTTCTTTTCTTCTATAAAATAGTCTTGTCACCTTAGAGCTTGTTTATGGAAGATTCAAGGAAACTATAAAATACATAAAGGTATATAAAATTAAGAAAACATAGCTGCAGGTCTTTGGTCCCAGGGCTGTGCCTTAACTTTAATCAATATTTTCTTCTGTTTTGCTGCCTTTGAAAGTTAGGTAGTGGTGGGGCTAGGGCTGGGCATTTCACATCTGAGCTTTGATCTGTTGGGTTTCTGGCAACAGCTGGATTTTACAGAAACACAGACAACCTCTGGAGCATTCTGAGACCCTTTTGAGAGACAAGCCCTTAGGTACTTTTTGCCATGAAGCAGCATGGCATATACGTTGGTGATTTTTCCCTATCAGATACTAACTGAGCTACGTTAGTTAGTTACATTTGATTTTTTATTTTCAAACACTACTGGGAAGATATATTCTTGTCCAGTGATTATAAAAAGTCTTTTTTGGCTTCTAGAGCACATGGGCAAACGAATTTGATTTGAAATTAGAGCCGTAGGTCACGTGTGTTAGTAATTTATTCCTTGGCTTCCTGTCATGTTAAGGAAATATATAATGTGAAAAAGGTCATGTTTTTAACCCTTCAACTAAGATGAACCAAATTTCCTTACGTATGTAAATCCATGTATTTAAACACAAAGTTTTATATGATGCCAATTCACACGGCATAATGGATTCACCATTCTCTAGAATCTGTTTCAGCAAAACTTGCATTGCTTTAGAATTTTTAAATTCAACCTTGCACAGCTCCTAAAAGCTATGAAAAATTCCCAGTGGCCCAGCCCTCAGGATGTGTGACTTAGTGAAAGGAGAGATTCTTTTTCTAGAAAAAATGAGCCTCCTTGTATTTCCTTTCTTTCTTTTTTTTTTTTTTTTTGACACAAACTGTAGATTTTAGCAGCCCTGGCCCAAAGGAATTTGATTACTTTTGTTTTAAACAGTACAACGGGGACACTATAATTACAAAAAAACATCCTTACTGATTTTAGTTGTTTTTAATTTGATTTCTTTGGATATGTTTTCAGAGTGGTAAATTGTGTGTGAGCATTACAAATGATGATTCTTTTAGTGGTTTCATAGCCTCTCTTACAGCCCATGGGGATAGTACTGTACATCAATACCTTCATATGAAATTTTTATATGCAATGGAAATAAAAGCATGGGTTGATTCTGCCTATTTAATGACTCGATCTTTTACAAATAAAAGGTTATTCATTTTAACTTGTAGTTCAGTCAGCACAGGTGTCCGAGGGCCATGAAGATTGTTAAGGTGGGATAGAGGAGGATAGTGACGTCATACATTACTATTGATAGTCACAGTCCAATGAAGCCAAATTATGTAGATTAATCTTGCTACAGAAAAAAAATGCCAAAATTATGTAAATGGCCTACAACATTAAGCACAGTGTTTTGTAAACAACCTTGGGAAGGGGACTTCTCTAATTGAGTATGCTGGCATCCTGAAAGTTATTCAGATACTCCACAGTTATTTGCTGGGTTCCTACTCTGCAGACTACAAGGTTGTGAGGATTCATCGGGGAACGAGACATTTCTGCTTTTGTGAGCTTACGGTCTAGAAGAGACAAAGGTATTAAACCATCCCATACACAGCATTGTAAGTGTCCTCAGTACAGCAAAGAAGCTCAGGTGCTGCAATTGAGCAGGAACCTGACCTTGGTCTCTTCTGGAGGGCCAGAGAAGGCTTTCTTCAGGAAGCGATTTGGGGCTGAGCTCTGAAGGATCGTGAGAGGTAACTTGGCAAAAAGAAGAGCTGACACAAAGAAGAGGAGGATCCAGACAGAGAAAACATTTGCAAAAGTCCTGAGGTGCAGATGAGCTCCAGACCTCTGGAGAAATGGAAGGAAAACACTCCTGTTCCATCACTCGTTACTCCCTCACCCTGCTTTCTTTCCTCTGTAACACTTATCGCAAATTGACATATGCATCTGTTTGTTTATTGTCCGTCTCTCCCACCAGAACATAGCTTCACGAGAGTAGAGTCTTTGCTCACCGGTGTATCCCGCACACCTAAAACGATGCACAGTAGTTGTTTAATATTCGTTGAATAGGGACTTCCCTGGTGGTGCAGTGGTTAAGAATCTGCCTGCCAATGCAGGGGACATGGGTTCGAGCCCTGGTCCAGGAAGATCCTACGTGCTGCGGAGCAACTAAGCCTGTGCGCTGAGCCTGCACTCTACAGCCCACGAGCCACAACTACTGAGGCCACGTGCCACAACTACTGAAGCCCGTGTGCCTAGAGCCCGTGCTCCACAACAAGAGAAGCCACCACAATGAGAAGGCCGTGCACTGCAACGAAGAGTAGCTCCCACTCGCCACAACTAGGGAAAGCCTATGCACAGCAACAAAGACCCAACACAACCAAATAAATAAATAATATTTGTTGAATATAGACACCAAACTGATATTGGATATAATTCAATCTGGTGATCCAGACATTAGGGTTGATACCATAAAAATATTCTGGCTGTTTTTTTATTTTTGAGCTTGTCAAGATCCTAGATAAAGAGAGGTTACCGTTTTTTCTACCCTGTTGCTAACTAAAGACTCTGCCTCTTCCTCACAAGTTCTCCTTTTTTTCCCTGAATGGCAGAAAATCAGTTTTCATGATGAGGAGAGTAAAGAAATCAGAAAAAGTTTAATCCCTAAATCGTAACTAGAATACAGTTAATTCAATAGAAAGACTGTGTTCAGCCTCTTCACCATTTCCTCCCAACACCGCAGAGAACGACAGAGACTAGAGCCTAGAGACGACCAAATCGTGCCATCCAGGAAGGCTTGAGCAAGCCCAAGTCCCCTTCCTCAGCTTACGTCCCCAAAGTGAGACTCTGGGACAAAGGAACGAGCAGCCTTCTTTTCCCCACTCGTCCCCCCATGCTGATTTAGGCCAATTTGGGTGTGCTGAGCCCACCTGAGTTTAGGTCTTTGACTGGAAACATCTCCTCAGGTACACAGCTTTGAACCCACAACAGTAAAACATTCCACAGAAGAAAAGAAAACCGTCTTCCCTGTCGCCAGAGAGCACCACCCCCAGCAGGGATGCACTTACTTACAGAGCCTTGTTTTAGTGGAATTCCACCTCTGCATTCCCAGCTTTCTGATTTGGGGGCTGTTTCTTTCGTAGCTATTCTCATATCTCCAAATATGCAATGTCAGACTCAGTGTAATGGGTATAAATCTCAGCCCATGCACTTAAGTGTGCAGGATACCCTGCTTGCTTTATTTCCATCAATTAACATGGGCTTTACGTCCTCATCCTACTACAGTCTTGGGACCTCCCATCTCTGTCTTTATTAGCACATCCCCTCACCCTCCCAACATAAAAATGCTCTCACCTGCAGCCGAGCAGAAACACCGCTCCTGGGTGTTGTCAAGACTGCAGTGGTTCCTTACAGTTTCTGGGTTCTTTGCTTCCTTCTCACGCATGTGGTGCCCGCTGAGGCTGGGAACCCCGGTTTGGGAGTCCTACGTCCTTATGCCCAACACAGATGCAAAGGATACCACCCTCCCAAAATCCAGAGCCACTCCCCAAGATAGTCCAAAAAAAAGACGGACCTAGACAATTCCTCTGAGAGCTGGCCACGGTCAGTAGGACCCAAGCCGCAAATGAAGTACATTCCATTTCCTGTCCGGCCTTATATGAGCTGCAAACGGAGTGCAATCCACATTTCTGTTGGGCCGTATTTTGGGGCCCCCAACTGGAGGGTTGAGCTGCCTGCACAAGTAAGAACTGACAACCTGTGTGCCCCAGGCAGGCAGAAAGTCACGCCAAGTTGGCAGGACACAAAATGAGACAAACAAGGAGGCAACGGCTGTTCCTGGGAGAGAAAGGATCCACAACCAAGGGCTCAGGCTTCGGAAAGGAAGGGAAAGCTTGAAATTTTACCTTTCTCAACAGGGCACTACAGAGATCCAAGCGAGCTGATGCTGGTAAGAATTCTCACCCTTCCTTGGCTTTTCTGCTGGTTTTCCTAGGATCCCATCTGCAGGCTCCAGAGTGAGTAGGGTTTCAAGTAGAGAGTGTAGCCCTGTGTCTGTGAGAACTTGACAAGGCTTTTCATTAATTTGAATGTTAGCTTCTCCTGGGCTGTTGAAGGGAATAACTGATAATAGTTGACTGGAGAATATCTGCGAGTCTGGTCAACCCTGGGAGGGGCCCTCTTTCGAGGGTAGATATGGGGGCATTCGAGTTGGAGTGGAAGGATTTGACAAAACCTTTTTTCCAGTGTCCTAAGTGAATGCCAATGAGACGATTTGTTTTTCTGATGGACCCCAGGAGGGTGCAGTGGGGGAGGCCCAGGTGTTCCAGGTTTCTGGCTTTAAAGCTGTTGCAGCTATAAGGTAACTGACTTGGTGGGCTTTTAGTTACGGCCTTGGGGTCTCTTCAGAGTGGAAAAGCAATTCAGTACAGGCTTAGTGAGTACTCAGGCATTGGAGGGTACAGGCGTCGGTAGGAATCACCTCTTTGGTCTTTAATTTTTCATTAGCCTTTTACAATGAATTTCAATGATGCTTTTTTGGAATCTTGAAGCTTTTGGAGGCTTCTACATGCCAATTAAAATAGATATCCCATTCTGTTCATTGGTTTGGGAACCCTTGCTTTCAGGTGCACTTCTTAAATGAACGATCTTGCCTAATTGGAAAGTTCCCCATGATGGCCGTTGTAATTCTAGGTTGTCTTAGTAAGATTTTGCCATTTTTGTAGATATCTATGGCTTCCTAGACCACAGTTCTTAGACTTAATATAAGCAGGTGTGCCGGGAGGTGGCACACTCAGGTCTTTGAAACTTGAGGATCCCGTTACTTTAGCTAAGCCTTGGGTCTCTAGGAGACAAATTAATACCTAAGGGGGATGTGCTGTTGGGCTAGGGCTTTTGTGGTGTTTCAAAAAACTTGCCAAAAACTGTTTAAAAACGATGAAAGAAGATAATTTGGGTGGTACGAATGGAGAACTGCCAAAGGGGGCAGAAAGCAAGGAGCTTTTATAGGTTAAAGAATAAAGAACAAGGAAGAGACAAATAGAAAATAACTGCTTGGCTGGGGACAAATACTCAACCTTGTTTGGGGCAAGAAGCCGGAGGCGGCCTGGTGTTTGGGGATTGGCTGACTGGATACACTGTGTTTCTGATCAAGAGGAGCATTTACAGGAACACAAAAGTTATGTAAGTTTTGGTTTGTTGATGTGGCATCTCAGGCAGGAGCCGCTCCATCTTGGGCCTAGAAATTTATTTCCACAGTATTTTGTACATTTCCCTAGATTAGACGTGTACATACCTCTCACTAGCTTGTGGGATTTCGCAGAAAGTGTGCTCCTTTTGGTCTGGCTAGTAAAGATTTAAGTCAAGACATCAATATTTGCCTGTTCCTTCTCCTCTAATACCAGTGGTCCTTGCACTGGCATCAGAATCAACTAGATTCTTGTTAGAAATGCAAATGATCAAGCCCCAACTCAGATCTTGGGAATAAGAATCCCTAGGGGTGCGTCCCAGAATCTGTCTTTTAACCAGTTGTCCTGTTATTCCTATGGGCCATAAAGTTTGAGAAACTCTGTTCCAGACCTCTTGGAGTTGTTTTTTCCTCTTTCGGTTTTGCAGGAAAGCAGAATAATCTCAACCCCCTTTCTAATTCACTGCATTTACTCAAAGGGATGCATGCTACAGCAGGAGTTTCAACAGGTGTCGCGGTGACAGCTAATGGCAATTGGAGGAACGGTAGAAACACACGTTTAACAAGCCAGTTTCCATCAAGCAGGAATAGTGAAGCCAGCTATTGGCTCTCTTCAGTAGCAGAGGAAACCTCAGGTTAGCTGTTACCATCATGACAGTTATTGACATAATTACGGGTTCTGGACCCAATTTCAATGTGGAGGGTTGGAGTGGGTTCTTCATAGCAACAAGGATTTCGCTTACACCAGCTGGGGGTCCTACAATTCAACTTAATTCTGGCACTATCCACCTGGAGATAGTATTGGATTCCACAAGGGCTGCAGGACTCAGTACTAGAAGACACCCACCCTCACCCCTCCATCCCCACCTCCTCCACTTCAGAGGCCAGTGGCAAACTCAGGTCGTTACCTGCACTTCTGACGTACTAGCTGTAGATCGGGGGTTCCAGCGACACCCCCGTCTTGGGTTCCATTAATTTGCTAGAGTGGCTCAG